CAGCCAAACTACTCTACCCCTGCCTGGCCACTGGCAAAAGGACCCAGCTGTCTTTCCCCCCAGGTAAGGAGTGCGGGAGGCAGAACTCAGGACATGAACCTCCTTCCTTCTTCCCTGACTGGACATCCGCACCCCACCCCAGAGCCCACTCCCCCACCTGCAGCTTTCCCCAAATGAGCAAGTGTGTTCTAGGACTGCTTGCATAGACGCCAGCTGCCTGGGAAGAGGGTAACCCATCCCCCAAGGATGGGGGTGCCTGACTTAGTGCCCCTTTATTCACCAGCCTTGGGGCAAGTTGTGTCCTCTGTGCTCTCAGCCCTCTACCCTGGTGGGGAGAGAGGACGCTAGCGTCAGTCCAGGGCCTGTTCTGTGGACCAGCAGGCAGGACGAGGGGCAAATGGCACGGGGAGGCAGATTTCTGCTCAGCCTGAGGAAGAACTTTCGAACAGTTATTGCTGCCCAGAGACAGAATGGACCCTGCTGGGGTGCAGGCAGATGAGTCCTTGACCCATCTGTGGTCCCTGGAGGCTTGGGTAAGGGTGCTGCATTTGATGGCCGTGAGGTCCCCTCCTGCCTGAGACTAGAGGGGTCCAGGGCTCCCTTGGGGTCGCCTGACTGGCCAACAGTCTCCTGGCCCAGACCCCCTGGGCAGGCATGGGCCTGGCAGGTGTGCCCTACCCTGTCGCTGCAAGTCTGTGGCTCCCCCAGGCCTCCCATTCAGCTCCAGCTCTACCTGGCACAGGGGCAGTGCAGAGCCTTGGCTTGCTCCCCAGAGTCCTCAGACTGGCATACAGGGCAGGGGAGACAGGCACCGTGAGGACCTCACAAAGCGTGAAAGTCCCAGGGCCATCCCTGGCAGCCCCGACAAGACGCCTTTTGTGCCTGATAGGGCAACCCTGCCAGGCTCTGCTTGCACGGAGGAGAGTGTGACAGGAGCCGAGCAGAGCAGCCAGAGATTGTCCTTATCACCCGGGGCTGATAAGACTGGGTGGGAGGGGGCTCTGCTGATCTGAGCTGGAGGAGCTGGCTGTGGTGGTGGCAGCCATGGGCGCTGGCCTCCCCCCACCCCCACCCCACCTCACCCCCACTCCTGAGGCTGCTTAATGCACAATATTGATCTGGCAGCTCCTGTTCAGACTCCCTTCCCGCAGGCCTGCCTTGGCCTTCTCTCAGCAGTCCCAGGGGGCAGTCCTGCTGACCTGGCCCAGTGCCCAGACAGCTAGACTCCCTCCCCCAGGGCTGGACTGGGCACCCTTCCTGAGAAGGGCCAGAGCCCAGTGTCCCCAGCCTCGGGCCAGGAGGAACTGGTGCTACCTCACCAGCAGTCTGGCCCAATAATTCTGTTTATGGGCCCCCCTTCTCACCCAGACCAGCCGTGGGACCCTGGGTGAGCCACTCACCCCCTCTGAGCCCCACTGTTTGTGTAGTAGGAATGACACTTACCTTCTAGAGTCCTTGTAACCTTCGCATGGGATGATGAGATGGATACTTGGCCCCCTGCTGCTGTGTTTATGGCCTTTGCTGAGAACCTGAGGGCCAAGAATCCCCCCTCAGACCACTGGTGGTCCCACATCTCCTTGCCTGGAGCTACCCATGCACCTGCACCATTGATCCATACTTATGGGATGGGGGCTGCAGCTCTGGAAGCAGCCGAAGTGGACTGAATGAGCTGGGCTGCAGGTGGGGGATCTCAGAACCCTAGAGCCCTCTTCTGAACCTCCCCTCCCACGGATGTGGTCCTTGTGGACCTTGTGGTCTGCCGTGTTCTGACCTTCCTGAGCCTTAGTTTCCCCACTTGAGAAACAAAGCTTCGCCTGCTTAACTCATCCTACCTGTGACACTCTAGGTAACAGGGAGGCAAAGGCCGAAGGAGGAGCAGCAGGGCTTGAACATGGCTGCCCCTCCCCGCAGTGAGACTGGGAGGTTGATCATCCCCTTGTGAATCACTCCCCCCTTTTGTTCCACAGCTGCAGAGCACCTCAAAGCTGGGGCTCACAGGGTGAAAGCAGCCCGTTCTCGGAGGCAGCCTGCAAACCTGCCCCGTGCCCATCACCCTCCTGCCCCAGGCAGTCTTCTCCCCTGTGCCCGTGCCCCCTGACCTGTCACTTAGCACAGCAAGAAACTTCCCCTGGACACTGGGACAGGAAAAGCCCACAGCCCTGTGGGTGGCATCTGAGGCAGGTTGATTGGCACAAGTGGCATTGGCAACCAGCTCCACGCACATGCTGGCCAGAGTCAGGCAGATTCCTTCAGCTCCATGGGCCTCTTGCCTTGCTATCCCAGCAGCTCTGGCCGCCTTTCTGCTTATCCCACCCCACCTTGACCCAAGGGTGCCACCACTCCTTAGCCTGGGCCTTGCATCCTGGCAGTGGCTGAGGCCTCTGTCACCAGGAGGCGGAGGGTTCAAGGCTCAGCTGATACTGAGGTGGAAGCAACTGGCTTCCTGAGACTCAGGAGGGTACTCATCCACGTGAAGGAGGGTCCACAGACACCCTTGGGACCTTCCTGTCAGCCCCTGAGCTGTCCCAGGCTTGATGGGGCCCTGGCGCTCTCTGCTTTTCAGGGCAGACAGGCCCAGCTCCCCTCCCCCTCCCTCCCCAGGGCCCAGCCTTGCTCTGCCCTCCTCTCCTCCTGTCACTCTGCAGACACCACTAATCAGCCCCTTGGTGGCCTGTGATTGCACTCCCCGAGATATTTTTACCTTATGCAAATGGGTGATGTAGAGGTGCCCTCATCTGTCAGCAGGCGGCCCTGCTCACCCCACCTCCAGCTGGATTCCGTTCACTGTCAGAGGTGGCTGAGCATCCTGGCCTCTCCTTCTAGATCTCTCCGCACTTCTTCAGGAAAACTGTGTCTGTTGAGGGGTGGGCTTACCTGGCTCCCCACCCCTTCCACACAGGAGTTTTCCCATGCTTGGGCAGAATAAGGAGGGGGCTGGGGGAGGGGGCTGGACCCTTCTGCCTCCCCCAGCTGCCCTGCCCTCACCTGAGGCTGCCCAGCCCTTAGGCCCTATTGGAGCCTGGACCCTTCAACCCAAAAGGCCACTGCTCCAGGACAACCACACAGACCTCCCCCCCCCCCCGCCCCTGACCTCTGTCACAAATACATTTATTGAGCCCTGTCCCTGCCCGGCACAGTGCAAGCACCAGTGTGGACTTCCCACTTAGTTCTCACAAAGCCCAAGAGCTGAGGCAGGTCCCAGCCTGGCCCCCTTTTACTGGTGGCAGACTGAGCCATACCCAAGGAGCCATACCCCGCAGATGACCAGGCAGTCTGTCCCCTGCTCTGTCCGTCCCCAGAGCCCATGCTTGCTTCTTAGTTACAGTCTCTTTCGTTTTGCTGTGGCTGTGCACCCAGCCTCTGATTCTGGCAGTTTCTCTGTGCTGCCCTCTCCTGCGGCAGCCTGGGCACTGCCGAGCCAGTCTGTGCAGCAGCTAGTATACACTGGAGGCCAGGGTGAACATGGGGGTGAACTGAGGGAGCAAGGGCCTGGGGGCTTAGGTGGGACAGTGGTGGGCGTGGCCCCATCAGCTGACAAGTAGCTGGCAATCCAGAGCCACCACCAGGTCTGGCCACCATCCTGCTTCAAGGTCCTTGATGTGCAGCCTACCCCTTCCAGAACCTTTCAGAGAGCAGGCCTTCATGTTCTTCTGGGGACCCCAGAGACTCCCATTGGGCATGGAGAGGTACAAAGGACACACTTGCATGTGGCCAAGGTCCACAGCAGTCTCTGGCCTCTGTGCTCGCCAGACCCCCATAGGGCTCCCCCATGCTTTCGTGACCTTGGGACACAAGGTGGCAGGATGGGGTCACCTTTCTTACCACAAGTCACCTGGGTGCATTGGGGTTCCTAGCCTCTGAAAGCAACAGTCATGTTTGCAGGCGTGAATTCCTCACTGGGTGCACCCAACTCTCCAGAGAGGTTCTAAGTCCCGGAAGGTCAGGACCCCTTCACCATGGTCCTCCATAGCCCCCAGCTGACAGGTCTAGCAGAGAGAAACACTGGGCAGTGTGGGTAGGGGGACACAGGGGTAAAGGATGGGGCAGTAGACTTGCTCAGCACCCTCTGGGTACCAGCTGCTTTCCCAGAACTGTCTCCCAACTCTCACCCTCCAACAGCCCCACTGTTCCCTGTTTAGCAAACAAGGAAAATCAGACTCAGAGCAAAGCCGGGAGCAGACTTCAGGCCTCCTGTCCCCCCAACTCAGGCTGGTGGGCTGCCTGAATCCCTCTGCTCTCCTTCCAGGAGGTTTGGGATCCTTTCGGGAGTAGTAAAAGGACTGGTTTTCCTACTTGGTGAGGCCTCAGGTGCTTCTGAACCATTTAGGATTCCCAGTGAGCTGCCTGGAGTAGTCGGGGCCTACCCGGGAGGACCCAGTGTGGCAATACAGACTACTGTGGACTGTCCTCATGGACATATGGCGGATCCTCCAGGGGAGTTCAAGTGATAAACACCTAAGTGAACTACAGAGTGTGCGAGATGGGAAGGAGGAGAGGGGATACGGGGTACCAGGAGGTGGGGTCCGTTTTCCCAGGGTTTTCAGAAAACAGCTCTCTAATAAGGTAATGTTGAAGCAGAGACCTTCAGAAAGGACTCTGAAAATGAGGGTTTGAGCCGTACATGTTTGGGGGAAGAGCACTGCAGTGGAGCAGCAGTGCAAAGTCCCTGAGGCACGAACCCGCTTGGCTGGGCTAGATAGTAGGGTGAGAGCTGAGGTGAGGTCTGTTATTGGGGACCTGGTGGCTACTATAAAACTTGGCTTTTTCTCTGAGATGAGATGTCTTTGGAGCGTTTGAAGCAGAAGACTGACCAAACCTAACTTGTGCAGACCTTTTTTTCTGGCTCTTGCATGAGAACAGACGTAGGAGGCAGAGGCAGGGGAATGGTACAGAGGCCCACGGCCACTGCAGTGGGAGGTGGCGAGCAGTGCCCACGCATGCTGTTTCTGGAGGTAGCGGTGCCAGGACCTGCTGACCGGGCCACGGTCTCTCCCTTGCAGAACTGGCTTCGGCTCTATGGCTACCTGCCCCAGCCCAGCCGCCACATGTCCACCATGCGCTCTGCCCAGTTCCTGGCCTCGGCCCTCGCTGAGATGCAGCGCTTCTATGGGATCCCAGTCACGGGTGTGCTTGATGAAGAGACCAAGACGTGAGTCCCTCCATTGCTCCCTTCCCAGACCCCACTGGCACCTGCCCTCTTCTGGTTTCCTGTGACAGGGACTTGGCATGTGGAGTTTCCAGAAAAGAGATGACAAATAGTTTGGTCCTCCATGCCAGTTCTGATGGGCGGGGAGTGACTGCCTCGAGCCTTGTGTTGAGAAAGTTCCTGAGTACCTCAGGAGCACAGGATTGATTAGTGATGCCTGCCACAGGCAGGAAATTGGGGGTGGGGGGAAGCACATCACACATGACCTGGATGGGACATCCCAGCCAGGCCTGGCTCTGAATCCGAGATGACACTATACCCCATCCTTGAATAGCACACACAGAGCATAAGGTATCAAGGACAAGAGGCCTCAGGAGTACCACTCCCCTCCCTAGCACTACTGACAAGAAGGGTTTACCTTTGTGAAGCCACTTCCAGGTACCCAGTTTTTCCATTGAAGATCATTGGACCCATTTTCCTGATGAGGAAATCAAAATGTACAGAATCTTCTAACCCCCTGCCCATACACAGGGCAACTGGAGACCAGAGGTGGGAGGGGCCTGGAAGCAGGAGGACTGCCTGGAAGAGGCAGAACTGAGCAGGCAGGTGGGGGGAAGGAAGGCTCTGTGCTCACCCCACCACACCTCTGACCCAGGTGGATGAAGCGGCCCCGCTGCGGGGTGCCAGACCAGTTCGGGGTGCACGTGAAAGCCAATCTGCGGAAGCGGCGGAAGCGCTACGCCCTCACTGGGAGAAAGTGGAACAACCACCACCTGACTTTCAGGTAGGGACTGGCTACCCAGGATGTTAATGGTCCCGGGCCGGCTTCCGTGGCAGCTGGCCCCCTCTCCCTGCCTGGGCTGAGGCTTCAGGCTTCCCAGCACTCTTGTCTGGAAGGCTTCTTTTCCCAGCAGCCCACCCCAGGGTGTCCGGCATGGACTGACCCCATTTCCACACTGACTGGACTGTCTGCATACCCTAGGCCATCTCCAGAGAAAGTCAGGCCCTTGGAGCTGCTTCTGCCCTGGCCTCCCTCCCCAGCACACCTCCCTCCTGCAGTAGCCCAGGGCCCTCCTCACCTTAACACATGAGTACAGCAGTACAGAACGGGGAGCTCCTAGTGCAGGGCACGGGGTTCCCTGCATCGGACAGTCGGGGGAGGACTGGCTGCAGGAATCCAGGCATTAGTCAGGTGGGCAGGCAGCAAGTCTGCCTGGTTCTGGCACTTTCTTCCTTTCTGCTGTGTCCTTCCTTGGGTGATAATCACTCCTGAGCCTCCAGCTGGGTGGCGGTCCCCAAGCGCTCCCTGTCCTGCTCCAGTCCTGTCACACCGAGGAAGAGCAGCTCCCGCCATCACTTAGACTCCAGGCCCCAGAGAATTCATAACCCAACAGCCTTCATGGAGACCTGCCCAGCACACAGAAGCATAATCTGATTTATCTGGGTAATAACAAGCCTCAGCTCTTTTCTTGTGTGCAAGCTCAGTGGCTTATGTTCTCCATGAGGCAGTTTGCTCACTCATCACAGGGACACCAGAATGTAAACCATGCCCCCTTCTCCCCCCCCCCCCCCCATTTACAGATGAAGGATCTAAAATTCAGAGAGACTAAGTCACTTGCTCAAGGTCACATAGATGCTAGAAGCCAGCCTTGCACTCAGGTCAGCCAGGCCCTGCAGCCCAACATTCAACCTGATGCTTGGCCTGTTTCCCAAACCTCAGCCACTTTCTAGATCTTTCTCTTGGCTACCTACCACTGTATTTTTATTTACTTTATTTTCTTCCTAGGAATAAACTTATTTGGCACAGTGCAACCTTACTTTAGTGACATCTAATGAACTCCTGCTTTTGACATGTTCTCTTTTTTTACAGGAAAACTTTTTTTAAAATAGGTAACATGCTATGGAAAATCTCAGACATACACAAAAGTAAAGCAAATAATATAATGAATCCACTAATGTACCTGCTACACCGTTTCAACGTTTGACTCTTGGCCAATCCTTTCATTTCCACCTCTGTCCATTTTTCCTCAATCCCAGGTATTTTTGAAACAAGTATCAGACATTCTATCTCAGTGAAAAGATCTCGCTGTGTCTCTTGATAAGGATTCTTTTTACATCTCTTTTTCAAATTCACATCAAAGTGAGCTAACGTTGGTAGTGACCGGCACTGTCTGTGAAATGGCTCTGATCTGACTTGGGTTCCTTGGAACCAGGCATCCCTGCCCCCAACCCCACGGGTCCTCCAAGTAGACTGCAGCCCCGGGCCCCGATTTTACCGCAGTGTCTCCCCCACCTCCTGCAGCATCCAGAACTACACAGAGAAGCTGGGCTGGTACAACTCCCTGGAGGCGGTGCGCAGGGCCTTCCGAGTGTGGGAGCAGGCCACGCCCCTGATCTTCCAAGAGGTGCCCTATGAGGACATCCGGCTGCGGCGGCAGAAGGAGGCGGACATCATGGTACTCTTTGCCTCTGGCTTCCACGGCGACAGCTCACCGTTTGATGGCACGGGCGGCTTCCTGGCCCACGCCTATTTCCCTGGCCCTGGTCTGGGTGGAGATACCCATTTCGATGCGGATGAGCCCTGGACCTTCTCCAGCACCGACCTGCATGGTGAGAACAGCCGACCAGGGCAGGGACAAGGCTGCCCCTGTGCCGTCCTCTGGAGCACTCACACTTGCTCTCCGTCTGTCCTCCCACCATCTTGGGGAGGGGAGGGTGGTGGCGAGAGAAGGGGTCATCCCCATTTCTTGGATGAGGAAGTTGGAGTCCCAGAAGTCAGAGCAGCTCAGCCCTTCTCAGCATGAAGTGAGGGCAGGCTCTCAGACAGCCTCAGCCCAGAGTTGGGGGCAGCCAGTCCCAGGACAGGCCAGAGCTGACCCTGTGCTGCTGCCCACACTGCAGGGAACAGCCTCTTCCTGGTGGCAGTGCACGAGCTGGGCCACGCGCTGGGGCTGGAGCACTCGAGCAACCCGAGCGCCATCATGGCGCCGTTCTACCAGTGGATGGACACCGACAACTTCCAGCTGCCCGAGGACGACCTCCGGGGCATCCAGCAGCTCTATGGTGAGGGGGTGGCACTGGGAGGCCAGGGGTCCCTTCATGCCCGCTCCCCCTGCCTGACAGCACAGGCACTACTGCTCTCCCCATTGTGTGGAAGAGAAAACTGAGGCCCAGAGAGGATTAGTGACTTGTCCCAATCACCCATCTTGAATGCAAGATGGTGCTAGAACTCAACCCCAGGGCTGGTCACCATCACCCTCAGGGCCCAGTGCTCACCCTCCGGTGGTTGCAGGCTGGGGCCCTCACTAACCTCCTTCACTCCACAGCCTCACTGATACTCATATTTGATCCAGGGGACCCCAGGTTCCTATTCCATGTTGTTGGGTTATTACTTCCCAGTAGCTTTGGGGCAGGTGCACCCCATGCCCCCCAGGCCACACCCAAGAAAGCCTCTAGTAGTGAGGGCTCTGAGGGCAGTTCCATGGGTCAGGCCTGTGCTCAGTGCCCGCACCGAGCCCACATCACAGACACTCTGTCCCTGTATCCCCAGAAACCTGGCATTGAGATGTGGGCCCTGGGCAGATGCACAGTGACGAGTTCTTTGCTCTGTGTGTGCCTGCTGCCTCCTGCCCCCCGATGGAGCAGGCTGGTGGGGTCCCCGGAAGTGGAGGCAGGGGCAGCCTCAGGGGCAACCTCAGGGGCAAGAGGCCAAAATCCAGTGTGGGGAGGTGGAGGGAGTGTATGGTGGAGGGTAGATTCTCCTGAGGGTTTGGGGAGGAGGTCTGCCCTGGAAAGATGGAGTCTTTCACTGGCTGGGCTTCTCCAGGCCAAAGGCCCCAGAATTATGGGGTTCTGAGAAGAAGAACCTGGCATCCTGGCTTGGGTCCAGGGCTGCTCCCTCACTTCCCTCTTTCCACCCCCTGCTCTGCAGGCACCCCAGATGGCCAGCCACAGCCCACCCGGCCGCTTCCCACGGTGACGCCCCGGCGTCCAGGCCGGCCAGACCATAGGCCTCCCAGGCCCCCCCAGCCACCACCCCCAGGAGGGAAGCCGGAGCGTCCACCCAAACCAGGTCCTCCAGTCCATCCCCGAGCCACAGAGCGGCCCGACCAGTATGGACCCAACATCTGCGACGGGGACTTTGACACGGTGGCCATGCTGCGTGGGGAGATGTTTGTGTTCAAGGTCGGCCCCTGCCCCACCCCAGCCACTTTACTCAGCCTCAGAGCAGGGGAACACCCCATCCCAGGGTCCTGCCCCACCTGGCTGCTCAGGCCCCCTCCCACCCCTTCATTACTGTGTAGCCCCGAGACAGAACAAACCAGCCTGAGGGATGAGGAGCTGGCCTGGGCCACACAGCTACCCAGGGGTCTGTGCGCCACCTTGCCCAGGGCTTCCTTCCTACTGCTGCCTGGCATCTAAGCTGCCTCGCAGGATCTGGAGGCTCCCGGGGTCCTCCCTGACCCAGGGCCTCTTCCAGGCTCAAGCAGTGTGCATTCTCTGCGCACTCATGCACGCACGCGCCCTCCCTAGGGCCGCTGGTTCTGGCGGGTCCGGCACAACCGCGTCCTGGACAACTACCCCATGCCCATCGGGCACTTCTGGCGTGGGCTTCCAAGTGACATCAGTGCTGCCTATGAGCGCCAGGATGGGCGTTTCGTCTTTTTCAAGGGTGAGCTGGGGTCAGTGGAAGGGCTGGGCAGTCGTCCTGCCCTGACCTCTGACCCAACTGGATCTGAGGAAGGAGGAGGGCTGTGTTGCATGGTTTCTCCTGCCACCCACGTGGGGTTTGTTCTGGGGGAGGTGGTCTTCCTGGCAGCAAGGTGGAGGGCAAGTAGATAGAAACCAGGGGATCTGGGAGCTAGCAGTTGCTATAACTGGGGGTGAGTGTGTCTCCCTCTTCTATAACCCAAGGAGTCCAGGTCATTTCCTCCCTCCTTGCCTCTTGTGCCTCCTGTAGTCCCTTCCACAGAAGAACAGGTCCCCCACGCCTGCTCTGGGGCAGGATTTCTGTGGTCTGTCTGCAGTGATGCCAGCCCTCCCCCTGGGGGCTGCCCCTGGGGAGAGTTTCCAGGGCAGCACCCCTGATGAATCAGCTGTGTCTCCAGCCCCGCAGCCTGAGCCTCAACAAGGCAGGCGCTCCCTAAGGACAGGACAGAACCCACACTAATAGTGGGGAGCCCTAGGCTACTGGCATGCCCCAAGGATGCAGCCCCTAGACCCAGAGGTCAGGTAGTGCTCCCCCTCTTTCCTTATTCTATACAAGAACTCTGTGTGTGTGTGCACACGCATGTGTTGAGTGTGGGTGTGAATGGATCTATGGGCCTAGTATAGCATCCCCTGTGCTGCCTCCATGAACACCCCAGGCCTGTCCTCACCCCACCGTGTGCTCTCCCTGCAGGTGATCGATACTGGCTCTTCCGGGAAGCAAATCTGGAGCCCGGATACCCACAGCCACTGACCAGCTATGGCCTGGGCATCCCCTATGACCGCATCGACACGGCCATCTGGTGGGAGCCCACGGGTCACACCTTCTTCTTTCAAGAGGACAGGTGAGTGCCCTTGCCCCCTAAAGGGCTCACCCCAAAAGAACCCATGGCCTATGTGGAAGCAGCTCCAGGCCCAAGTGGGCCAACCGCTTGGTGCTTTGGTTGCAGGTACTGGCGCTTCAACGAGGAAACACAGCGTGGAGACCCTGGCTACCCCAAGCCCATCAGTGTCTGGCAGGGCATCCCCATGTCCCCCAAAGGGGCCTTCCTGAGCAACGATGCAGGTACCAGAGCCAGCCCCAAGCCGGTCTGCCCAGCACTCACCATCCCACTCCACACACAGAGGCCAGGGCTTTGTCCAAGGTCGCCTAGCATTGCGATGGATATATGGGATATATGTCACGCTCTGGACTGGCAGCTCCCAAAACACGACTCTCCTGTCCTTGCATCATCACTGTCCTTTTTTACAGATGACGCACTAGACCAGAGAGTTTACGTAAAGTGCCCTGATTCCAGGGAATCCAGGGATTCCACAGCCAGGGAGTGTGGAATCAAGAGGCCAGCCCAGAGCTGGGTTGTGTCCAGAGGTGGGGCTTGTTGCTGCCCTCCCCAAAGCATCCAGTCACCCCTGGTCAGCCCACAGGGATCTTCAAGCGGAGGAGCATGACAGTGCTCCCAGAGCACCCACTTACCCACCTGGCAGGGAAGCCCCATCTCTGTCATTACAACCCAGCAACGGGGAGCTGTCATTTTAATTTTTCCAGCAGGATCTCCAGAAACCTGTTATTAGCCCTCGGGTTCAGGGAGACCCTGTTTGCTGTGCCTGTGCTTGGGCGTGTCTATGGCCACTTTGATTTTGTGCTCAGAGGAACAGACTCACCCTGCAGCTCCAGTCTGGCCCTTCCCAGTGCCGATGGGCTGTGGGCCAGTTGTCCAAGTCCAGAAAGCCGGGCCAAGGCAGTGTGGGGTGAAGCTGGTCCTAAGACAGAGTAACAAGTACTCCTGACTGCAGCTTCAGTTCCCAGGCTATAGGACCCTACCTCCCCCGGCCTAGGCAATGCCAGTCTTCCAGAACACCAGGTGTCTAGTCATGCCCTAGACCCAAACCCTGCCCTCATTCTGAGCCTGGTCTAGGCCCTGTAAGCTGGGAAGAGGCACATTTGAAAATGCTTAGGGAAGCAAGTGAGAGGGAGGGTGTTTTCAAGCCGGGGCCCCTTCATGAGGGTCTGACACCACTCTGGCCTGCTTGCCCTCCTCAGCCTACACCTACTTCTACAAGGGCACCAAATACTGGAAGTTCGACAATGAGCGCCTGCGAATGGAGCCTGGCTACCCCAAGTCCATCCTGCGGGACTTCATGGGCTGCCAAGAGTACCCGGACCCTGGGTCCCGCTGGCCCGACGTGGCCCGGCCTCCTTTCAACCCCAATGGCGGTGCAGAGCCAGGGGCAGAGGGTGACGAGGGAAATGAAGTGGAGCCCGGCCCAGGTGGTGGGGAGGGGGACTTTGGGGCAGGGCCGGACAAGGACAAGGATGGGGGCAGTCGCGTGGTGGTGCAGATGGAGGAGGTCACTCGGACTGTGAATATGGTGATGGTGCTGGTGCCACCGCTGCTGCTGCTGCTGTGCATCCTGGGCCTCACCTACGCCCTGGTGCAGATGCAGCGCAAGGGAGCACCCCGCATGCTCCTCTACTGCAAGCGTTCGCTGCAGGAGTGGGTCTGACCTGGCATGGCCCCTCCTGCTCCTCACGGTGCTAAGGGGGCCCAGGTTGGTGGCACCTGTGGTTCTAAGATGGCTCCTTGGGGCACCTCTCTCAGCCCCAGTGGGGGACCCCTTCAGGCCCCCCAGCATCCCCCATCAGTCCTGCCCCCATTGTTTATTTATGCCCCCATATCTTTCTTTCTTTCTTTCTTTTTTGCACACTAACTGAGCATTTGTTTCCACTTTCCTAACCAGGGTGGTCCCTCAGGACAGGGGGTTAGAGCTTTCTAAATGTAGTTCTGCTCCAGACAGGGAATTAGGCCCCCTACCCACCCCTGGCTTGGCCACAGCCAGAGAAGAGGATCAAGGCCCAGTTGGAAGAGCGCCTGAGGGTTGTCGAGGTTGTTACCTCCCTCTCAGCTCTGCTGGCTTGGGAGACAAGTGGGGCCTAACTCCCCTGAGTCTTTCTCCACTTCAGCAAGTGCTTTCACCCAGGGGCAGCCCCAGGCTGGAGGGGCCTGGGGTTGGGGGGGAGGTGGTCCACTGGCTGTGAGTCCATGTCAGTTTGGGTCATCCCCAGCCCACCTCGGACAACCCCAGCAACCCAGCTTCTCGTGCCTAAGAACCCCATGCCACCCCAGCCAGCCGAGGGGCCAGCGGCCCCCATCTCCTGCATATCCCCTCAGCCCACACCTCCTTCCCTCTCTGGAGAGGGGGCCCTGGGCCTGCCTTATCAAGGACCAAAGGGGGTCTGCCAAGGCCCCTCCCCCAAGGGTAGTGGTAGCACTGGGCCTGCCCCTGGCAGAGCTTCCAGCCCCTTTGTCTTTCTTCTCTCTGAGCTTTGACCCACCTGGGCTCTTCCCTGGGCCTCTGCCCACCCTCTTACACCGCTACCGGCACCCTCGGAACCCTACCAGCCTGCCGTGTCCTGGCTCTCCTGGGGGGCTGTGGGTGCCCAGGCTGGGGTGATGAGTGCCCACAGTTCAGGGGCGCCTCCCTTCCAGACCCTGTGCCCCCAGGCTCTAGGAGGAGAGACGCAGTGGGCAGAAGCCAGCAATCACCCCCATGGGGACTGTGGGGCGGGGCTGTCCCCGAAAGGAGCCCACTGCTCCCTTCCTCTGGGCTCAGCCCTGAGGGCAGAGACACTTCCTCCCTCTTTTCCTTCCCAAAGTAAGTGGGAGGCAAGGCTGCTGTGGGAAATGGTACTGTACAGCCGGCTCTGTCCCCCTCTGTCTCCCGAGAACCCTGAGCAGAAAGGATCAGCCAGCCAGAGTCCCTGAGGCCCCTGGGGGAAGGGCCTCCTCATGAGCTGGCACCCAATGCGGGTCCAGCAGCTTCCTCCCCTCTTGGTCCTCAGAACCTGAGAGCCAGCGAGGGGTGGAGAGGGGTCAGAGTCCACCCCCATACGTTTCTTCCTGTAAATAATCTGCACTGATTAAATCGTATGGCCGGCGAGTGTGCCTCCTTCCTCAGGCTTTGGGCTGGAGCTTACAGCCCGAGGGATGGAAGGTGGGGGCTGGGGAGGTCATGCTATGGTTAGGAGATCTGCCCCTCCCCCACTAAAGTGACCTGTTCCCAGTTTGGGGGGGTGGGGTCCTTCCCAGTGACCTTTAGAAAGAAGGCCCTGGGAGGGGCAGAGCCGGGAAAGGATGGGAGGTGGCAGGTCTCCACAGACCAGGGGAGGGCAGGGCAAGGCAGAGGGCCTGGTGGCCATGCTGGGGAGGTACAGGGAAGGAGTGGGAACTTGGTCACTCCTGGGGAGAAAGGGCACCCTGCAGATGAGGCAGTGGGTGGAGGAAGCTGGCCAGCCCCCCAGCTCACCCACCAGCCTGGGTTCTGGGCCACCTCAAGACCAGCTCGGATGGGAAAGCAAGCTGCTTTGGATTCAAACATTGCCTTCACCACATACTCTGCTCACAGGGTGAGGGGGTACCCACAATCTGCCCTCTCATCCTTGAAGAAGCAGAAAATCTCAACTGGGCAGGGCACAGATGAAGCCCAAGAGAACAAGGGACCGAGGTGCCATGGCCCCTTGGGTTTGGGCTGGGCTGGCAAGCTTTGGACCCCACGTCCATCCTGTGGGTCAAGCCTATTGGTACTGGCTTGTACCCCCTGGGAATGCAGTGCTCAGCCATTGTGGGGTCCCATCCCAACCAAGCAGAATCTCCACAACAACTTGAGCAGGGTCCTTTAGCCTGTTCCACAGCTGTACCCTCTCCCACAGCTGTACACCCCCTCCCCAGCCCCCCTTAATCCCACCCTTTCCTCTCTTTGTGTTGAAACTGGCTGAAGAGAGTAGGAAGTACTGGCCCTCGGAAGCCCCAAAGGCCACAGCCTCAGTTAGGAAACAGCGCATGAGTTCCCCCACCACCGGGGCCTCAACCTTCAGCCTGGGGTCCAGGCTGATACTATCTTGTCAGCTTTCCTGTGGCAGAAGCCTAGGGCTCACCCAGCTATGCCTTCTGCTTGAAACCCTGGGGTCTCCCAGAAGCCCAGAGGCTACCAGGCAGGTGGATGGCAGTATGGGGCCATGGGGGTGAGAAAGGAGAGGATGAAAGGCCTTCCTTGAGTTCTTCCTCAGAGCCCAGGCCAGAGGAGAGACTTGGCGGAGGCCTCAGTTCCTCGGGAAGCTGCCCGAGGAGACTTCCGCCCCCCTCAGGCTTTCTGGTAAAATCTCAGAAAAATCAGTGACTGAAGAAACAACCCATCTCAGGGACCCAGTTTATTCTGGGGTGAGGGGGGGCCCAGATGTGTGACAGAGGTCTCTGAGGGGGATTGTGTGGAGCACCTCCACCCTGCCCCCTACCTCCCCAGAAAGCCAGCCTGACCAGACTTCCCCCAGGATCAAACAGGAGCCTGGAACTTTCAACTGTTTGTTTTTTAATGTGGCTGTAACCTAAACTCACCTTGGGTCCCCAAACCCTCAGCACCTTTTGTTCCTTTGTAGTTTGCTAATTCCCAATTAAGATATTACAGATAAACAAAAAGAAGAAAGCTCCAAGTCACCTTAATTCCCCTGCCAGTGTTGACAGCTTGGCATGTTTCCTTCCAGCCCTCTTCCCTCTACGTTGGCACAGCTTGGGGCTCTACAACCTGACACACCCTGGTCTCGAGGCCCAATGGGGCCATACTTCACCCAACAGACAGGATGACATTCCTACCTCATGGGCTGTAGGATGAAGGGGGTTGGGTGGCTGGTGACAGTGTCTGGCAGGTGCTCAGTGTGCGATCCAGACCCTGTGACTCACATGCCCCCCACTTACATTTTACTGGTGAGAAAAGTAGGACCCAGAGAGGTATAGAGACTTGGCCACAGTCACACAGCTAGGAAATGATCGTGACAGGATGAGAACCCAGACAGACCTACTGGCTCAGCAGCTCCACCCCAGCCTGGTGCAGCTGGAGAACTGGGACAAGGATGAGGCCACCCTCGCCCCACCCCCCACATTCTACTCATGGAAGACCCCAGGGCCACCAACAGAGCCTCCTTTCAGGCTAGGGTGGGAGTGAGCTGGCTGCTTCCTCCCCCTCCAACTTGGCAGAAAAGCCTTTTTGTTGTGGCTCACACAGAGGCCATTCTCCTCAGGCTCACGGGAAGGAATGGCCAACTTCCTGTCCATCCACAGCCGCCCAGGCTGCAGTGGACTCCTGAGTAGGTCTGAGAGGAGCAGCCTTCCTATCCCTCCATGTCCTCCAGTCCTGCCTTGGGCCCAAGACTGCGGCTTTGTTCCCCAGACACTGAAACTATAAAAGGGGCTGTAAGGACCAGTTACCTCTCAGCTATCATGGCAAATGCTGGGGATTCCAGTCTCAAGGCACTTTAGGGGCACAGCAACAGGGCCCCCAGCCCACTGCACAGGTGGCCTCACGACCCACAAAGTGTTGGCAAAACACTACCATGCTGCTTACCCTGTCCCAGATGTCCCCTACACTTGCTTGCCTCTGTGCCTTTGCTTATGCTGTTCCTTCCCCCTGGAAGACTCTTCCCTACACATTTCATTGTGTCCAAATTGCACAGACTCTTCAAGATTATGATTTGCCTTTTCTAGATCTCCAATCTCCTTCCTCACAGTCACTGAGTTTCCTTCCAACTCAGGCTCACCCAGCACTTGTGTGCTGACCATTCCTGACCTCTGAACCCAGCCTGGCCATCCTTATACTGACTATGGTTCCATTGAGCACAGACTGCGCTTAGGCAAGTTGCTCCACCTGAATCCAAATTCCCCATGTATAGAATGAGGGTAACAGCCATGCCTATTTTAGACAGTTGTGAAGCTTGATTCTGCTGACCCTTATAAACAGAAGGGCACCTGGCCCAGGGGCGACTTGTGAGTTTGTTGCTGTACATCATTATTAGAGGTACAGGACCTGGTGCCCACTCAGGCTTCCCTCCTTAGAAGAGTAGAGTGCTTGTGGAATAGGGTCAAAGGTCAACAAGACTGGGGACAGGTGCTGGGGTGGAGGGATATTCCTGTCTAACCAGCTCCCTTCCCAGCTGCCCATGCTTCACTCAGCTGACCCTGGGGGTGGGATTGCCCTGGCCCAGCCTCTCCCCACCCACAGCACCAGCCCTTCTTCCCAGACTCTGGGCACATAGTCCCAGGTCAGATTTCCTCCCCAAGTGCCCTGACACCTCCCATCCCCACATTTTTCTCCTACCTCAGTCTGCCAGAAATAGCCTCCAAAATCCCCTTCAATTATAGCCAAGCCAAAAGGCCCCTCCTGGGAAAACGATATCATTCCCTTCCCATCAAGGATCATAGGAACAAAATGGATTCATTAAGAAATTCCCACTCAGGGCTTCCCTGGTGGCGCAGCAGTTGAGTGCTGGGTTGCCAAGCTGCCCGCAGCCTCTGCAGCGCCGGTTCGATCCCCAGCCTCTGGGCGAGGGTCCCACATGGCACAGCAGACCTCTCCTGCTGCCCGCTGCTCCCCTCAGCAGTGTACTTCGTCAGTCTGCCTGTTCTGCTCTCCACTCTGGCTCTGGTGAATTCTCTCACCCTCCCGCGCTTCTGACTGTACCCAGTGCTTGTATAAATGAATAAATCTTAAAATATATATATATATATAAAAAGAAATTCCCAGTCAATGAAAAGGGAAAGATAGCTTTCCCTTTCCCTGATAATTTCATCCAAAATTAAAAATAAAATATACATAGCACCATCCTAAAACCTGCCAGCATCACCCAGATCAGCCTACCTCTATAGAAGGGGGTACTGAGTCCAGGTCAGAGGTCTTATTTGGTCAAGGTCACTCACTAAGTCTTTGAGCTGTGATTTCTGCTCCCAGGCAGGGCTCTCCCCCACACCATCCCTCATACTCCCTCCCGATCATTTCCCTTGCCTGGCCTGTGTTTTCTGCTCTTTGGAAATGCTGAGGGTAGGGTATTGTGATTCAGCCAAATTTCCTGATCAAAGACATTTCTGTGCTTCATGTAGCACAGGTTTGGACACAGCTAATGGAGAGGAGCTCTGCCCTCTGCAAAGAGCCCCCCATTATTCTGTGAAAACAGCCCCTCCCTCCCCTCTCCCACTGCAGAGAGTCTGGTAGAGCTGACCCCATTCCCTTGGTGGCTAGATGGTCTTGTGACTCAGGACCAGCCAATCAGCACCCCTGTGCATGGTTCAGGGGTGGGCAAGAAACCCAAGTCTGGCCTATCAGGGCCTTCCGTGGCCTTTTCTGGAGCCCCTGGGAGAGCAGCCCTGTGTTTACTGGGATGGCTGAGCTACTGAAGTGTGAGCCTGCAGCTGCTGATGGATCATCTTGCCACAACACAGACAGAACCTGCCTCAGAGCAGAGCCAGCACAGAGGAAAAAAGAGCCTAGAAGATTCTGAAGCATGGTTTGAGCACCTGGATCCAGCCATACCTGAAGCTCCAGGACCTTAAACCTTCAGTTACATCTACCAATAAACTCCCTTTATTTCTGAAGTTAAAGTCAGTTGCTATTGTCTTGGTTTATATATTTTTGTCATGACTGATACCCCAGAGTGCCCTGAGCTCCAATCTCCCACTTAGTTTAATGTATTCTTCCTAGCTATCTAGGACTCTTCGCAGGATATCACCAAACCCCAGGATCACAAGATACCTCAAATGTTTACTGAGAACCAGGGCTCGTTCTAGGGCCCCTGGCACAAACCTCAGCCTCACAATGCTGCCAAAGAGCACATGACCCTGAGTCTTCACAGAAGTCCCCAGAAATTAAGCAGCCAGAGGGGTGAGAGGGGTAAGTAGAGTTACCTGTTAAGTGGGCTTTTTTCAGATTGCAAAAGGTAATGTGTGGTCAGCTGTTGGAAACAATCATGGAAAAACCAAAGATGCTTTTTAAAAGTGCCAACAATTTCTTCTCTCCCGCAAATACGCTTAACATTTGAAGTTAATCCTATAGGCTCTGCCATATGAGTATATATTCATATATTTTATTTTTAAAAAGGGAGTTTATGCCAGGCATGTTGTATTCCTACCTACCTTTCTCCTTTAATACGACGTGAAATTTGGATGAGATATGTGAGCTGTAGGAGACTCATTTTGTTGAGTCTCTAGAGCATATGTTATATGTGGTAAAATAACTGAGTAAATATCTTTAGCCTCCTTTTGTGTCCACAGATTGTGTTCTGCAACATCCTCTCGGTGGATGCCTCCTATGATCAGGCCAGATTTTCCCAAACCATGGCAGGACAATCACACATAATATTTGAAAGCATCCATTTTTTGTTGCAAATTGCTCTCAAGGGTTCACAATGTACCAGACTTGAGGTGTTTTCCTGTAGTTAGTCCTGATAAGAACCTCAAGGCTCAGAGAGGTGAAGGGACTAGCTCAAGAATGCACAGTTAGTCAGTGGTGGTATCTGGACTCAGGCCCACCCCTGCTGCTGATCCCAAAGCTTATGCTCTTAACCATTCATTTACTCAACAAATATCTACTGCTGGCAGGGATCAGGCCAAACTTCTAGCAGTGACTGGCACAGAGACCCCTCATGAGGCTCACGTTTGATGGAAATGAGTGTCCCAGGAAGAGGGAATAATCAGTGCAAAGATCCCGAGGCTGGACCAGAGCTAGCATGTTTGGGGAACAGAAAGGAGACACAAGCAGGGTGATGAAGAGGCTAAGGAGAGAGTGGGAGCAGGGCCAGGTTACAGGTCAGGAATTGGATTCATTCCCAGCCTAAAGAGAAATCTTTGCAGTAGGAGCAAGGCGACATGATCTATGATTTCAAGAATATTCCTCTGGCTACTGTATATTTTGCTAACTACTTTTGCACACATCTGTGATTCTTGCCTAAAGAGGGATTCTTAGAAATGGAATCGCCAGTCCACATGTTCTAAAGCTTTTCTTACATAAAGACAAATTACCCTCCAGAAAGAAAGAGGAACCTGTTTCTACTCCTCCCCCCACGGGGCTGAGTGCCCACTCTCCCACCCCACACAAACCCCAGGGATGAGATCATCTTTATCAACAAGATTAATGATGGTAATATTGCTTTGTTGGTTTCATTTGCAGTTCTTTGATCTCACTGAGTTTGAGCATTTTTTATGTTAGTTGTTAACCCTTTGGGGATATTTTTTAAGGGAGGGGAGGCCTGCCTGTTCATGCCCATTGCTCATTTTTCTTTTGAGGTGTTTCTTCTTATTGATTTATAGGAGCTATTTATAGTATGATTTGTTGATTAATGAGTTTTAGAGCTAATAAATTTTCAGTCCTAGCCCCTCATCTATAGATGGGTAAACTGAGGCCTGGACAAGAATGGGTACATAGTCTGTGTTCTGAGTTCTCTGGCACCCTCCTGGTCCCAGAGTAATCCTTGCCAGCTGTGCTCATAGCCTGAGAGATTTCCCTCCCCTCCTGCCAGCCCTCCTGGTATCTAGAGGGTTCTTTCCATGCCCCCACTCCCAATTTCCAACCAGAGCCTCTTAATTCAAATGGAAAGGAAGACATTCTGCAGACAACTGGCTCTGGTGCCGGTGATGTCACCCAGGGAGCAACAGCACTAGTATTCTGGGTGGGAGTGAGGGAGTGGTGCTTTGTCCCCAGTTACCAGAAGGGACCACTGGATTTGGTGGGGAAGCTCACAGCACACACGCCCTGCACCAGCAATCAGCTTTAGGCTGTGCAGGGTTTCGAGAGCAGGCCTTCCATCATTAAAAGGTATCAGAGCAGGCAGTGAGGTGACCCAGAACAAGTCCTAGCTTGGGGCTCAAAAATCCTGGGTCAGAGGCCAGCTCTACCAAGACAACTTAGATGAGCTCCCAGGCTTTGCTTAAGATGGGGATTCAGTTCCCAGAGTCTGTCTGAGAATCAACGAAGTGAAGGAGGTGAGGGCAGAGTTAGACTCAGACATAGTCCTCCTATTCCAGGTACAGGCCCCAGTCCTCAATTACTTAAATGCAGTATTTGCTCGCATTCTTGGTATATAAAGTAAAAACCTCACAGATCAGTCTAGAATCCAATCCTCTCTCTTCTGAGGTGACCGCCCATTCGTGTGGTATACACAGTTCCAGCCCTGTGCATGAGTACACTCATATATGGACAGAGTCAGAACAGAGAAAATGTGTGGGTTGTGACCGATTTGTTGGCCTGACATAAATGTTACCACATAGCACTCAGGGCTCTGCAGCTTCGCTCTTCACCTGCTATTATATCCTGGAAACCCATCCATGTCAGCTCCTTCTTAACTGCTACCCATTTGTGTAGTAAAGATTACTCGGGAGCAGTGTGCCAAGCTCGCTTCTCCTTTCCGAGTATATCAGAAGGCAGCCCCACCTGCTTTGTCTTAGGTGAAGCACCATCTCGGCTTCGACTGCTTTGTCTTAGGTGAGGGCCAAGCAGCTCTGAGAGGCAGTTGAAAGAAGGACCTTAGCCGACTTTCTCTCCCCCTGGAGGGGTGATTCCTGACACATCTGGTTGTGAAGGTGAAAGAAACTGCCTTGGCCTGCATCCCTGAGAGATTGAGCGGCGTAGAGGACTCGCTCCCCGCCCAACCTCAACCCACACTGGACACGGAGGCTGGGTATAAAATACAGCTGTGTGTAAATCATGGAGATTTCTGACTAGCTGCCTGCCCTGGGTGACACAGTCTGGGGTCATCGCTTTGCTCCTAACGCGTTTATATTACAGTCACCAGCGCAGTTACTATTTCTGCACATGCCGCCTCTTGATTTTCAAGAGGGTTTTTCTCCATGCGCTGCCCTGCCTGCTCCAGGAGCCTGGCTCCTGCAGATGGCATGGCTCATTGGGCTCCCTAGCCCTCTGGCTTCCGGTTGGAGTCCACCAACAGGAGGCGCTGCAGGTGCCTGGAGGATGGAGTGGAGAGAGGTCCCTGCACCATCTCTGCTTCATCTCAAGTCTTTGGCAGTAGCCCTACAGCTCCCCACAGGCCAGGTCCCCAGAACACATTTTTACTGGGCTCAGATGATGTTCTTCCCTCCTTTGATCTCTAGGCCTAGGGTGGCAATGGCACCCCACCAGGCTAGCTTGGTACCTCGACTTCTCTCAAAGGATTCGGTGACCCTCACCACACCTCTGTCAGTCACTAAAACTCTGGTGTGAATTCTGTATCCTGCCAGGCTCTCACTAAAATGCTGGAGAGAAGGTGAGATTCCGAGAATGTGTGTTGTCTATTTTGATACATGCTTCCACATCGCCCTTCCTGGTCACATGAGAGCTCGCCTTAGTAGGCCAGCGGGCAGCCCTTTGGAGAGATGGAAATGGGGCTCCCTCTGTGGGGCTGGGCATCTGTTCCCCAGAGGCTTGTCCTCTGGTTCCAGAGCTAGCGTCT